TGTGCTTGCCCTCCCCTTCCCTCTGCCACATACTGGTCCATCTGTCACCAGCTTCCCTGGCACACACAGCCCTTGTGGAGTGAGTCCAAAGACCTGATGCCCAAGGCACTGCCCAAAAAGCTTCTTTAACCCTACAAACATTTCAGGCACACAAATGAAAATGTTTGGAGAGTGGGAATGAGGAATAAATCTGAATTAGCAACCAGCTCTTTCTTAACTGAGATAACTTATGTACACAGACATCACAGAACATCTCTGTTCTTAGGAATTTCTGAATTAGCAACCAGCTCTTTCTTAACTGATATAACTTATGTACTACAGGCACACAGACATCACAGAACATCTCTTTTCTTAGGAATGAATATGCAATTATGTTCACACTGTCTGTTTTCTTACCTGTATATGGTCTTACAGCCCATACCTGGGTACCATGCTGTGGTAAGAGCCGTTGGACCTCCCATCACAGGCTGGCAGGCACTTCCCAAGACAAACCATGGCTGGTTGTCACATGAGACACTCCTCACTTCTCATCCAACAGGAGGAAAGTGACAGCAGCCTTGGTGGCTTCACTCAGCTGCCCAATTGCCATTACTGTAAGCAGGGTTTAATAGTGAGACATTCTCATGACATTGGGCTTATCTCCATCCACCACGTGGTGATGTCTGTGAGCATCATGAGCAGCCCTACTGGCACAGGGGATGACTCCACATGGGGACAATACTTGTTTCAAGAGAGAGACTCTTCCCTCAGAAGTGTGCATGTGTATCTGATGTGGATTTCTGACACAGTCAAAGGAGCCTCAGCCAGCCTGGAGTCAAAACACATCATAGAATCACAGGATACCTGGCTGGAAGTGACCTCAAGGATCACCTGGTCTAACCTTTCTTGGCAAAAGCAGGTGTGCTGCACACTGAGTGCACTGCCTGGTGGGTCTGGGGCCACATTCCCAGAAGCAGAACTCATGGGTGGAACAACAGCAGGACCAGTTGGGACTGACCACCCCTGTTCTTTCCCTGAGGTGTTGGGACCAGCTGTGCCCAAAATCTTGTTTGATCTACTGTCAAACACCAAAGAGGATGGTCTGGTCTACTGGGAGAGAGCCCAGAGCCTCTGGAGCTTCCACTCCTGGGGCTGGATTGGGAAGATAATGATCAAAATTCCTACTTCTCTGTGCAGAGAGGAAGAGCTCCCCAGTCCCCATGCTACAGAGGAAACACATTTAAAAAATCAGTAAACAATAATAATGAGAATAACAATCTCAAAGGTCTTTTCCAACCAGAGCTATCCTGCGACTCTGTGATACTAACAGTGATCATAATAACAATAGATTAACAATTAGTAACACAGTGAAAAGGCAAAGCTCAAATATGCAGCAGGACATGGGCACATCAGGCTGCCTCAGCTCCAGAGCCTGCTGGTTTCAGCAGGTACCTGGGGCTCTGCTCCTCCCTGTCCTTTGGGAAGGAGCCTGCAGAGCCTGCCAGGTCATTCCTGGGCTGGGCTCAGCCTCCCAACCCCCTTGGAACGTGGCTCAACGAAACCCAGGTTTCATTTTTGTTGCAGTCAAAAGCAACTGAGAGACGTGCCTTTGGCACATGCTAGATGTGAAATCAGAAGCCCTTAGCTGAAATACCTAGTGACTAGTGACAAAAGACAGGCACATTTAAACCGAACAATCTCTGGAAGTTTAATATAGCTGTAGATAAAACTGAGCTTGCAGTATTAATGAATACAAGAGTGTGTTAGTTTGTATAATCCAAACAAACTTGTACATCTATACAGTTATAGACTGCATGCCAGAAAAAAATGCATTTAGTTTAGTCTAATTTGACTATGTACAATTTACAATGTAGTTCAAGCATCAATTCAGCAGTAGAGAACACAGACCGGCTGTGCAGTCACACACATCTCTTAGCACAAGCATTAGGGCTGGGCTCAAATGCTCCTTGAGGGGGAGAAACCAAAGTGGCCACGCCAGGGAAAATGAAACATTAACCAGAAACAACTTCCTAAAATGAGTAACTAATGAAAGTTACCATCCATGGTTGTACTTCCACTCTTACTCATGACGGACACACGGATTGTCACCTCCACACACGTAACGTGTTGCAGGACAAGCCACAAGCCTCACAGATCTTGTGTCCAGCAAGGACAGGTGCATATCTTGATTTAAAAAAAAATAATCATCATCAAACTTTTCAGTTAATCAAAACTTAGTATTTTCCATGGCATTAAGTGAATAACATTCAGGAGAGATTCCCACTGCTTCACATACTTTCAGGTGGTTTATAGAGGCTGCTGCAGCCACCCCGACTGCTGGTGTAGGTTACAGCCACAGCCCCTCTCCTGGTCACCTCTTCTCAACCTGTAGGACACGGCCACACTGCTCCTACTCAATTCAACCTTCTACACAGATTCAACCCAAAGTTTCCTAAAGAAAAACACCTGAAAGGAGGTCTTTGCAGTTGGCCCACCAAGGCACAGGGAGCCTGGCACCTTCCCCGGGGCTTTTGGGAGGGAGGACGCTGGTGGCCCCAGGGCATAAGTAGTGAAACACCACTGCTCTTCATCTGGGGACATGTCACACTGACTTTTCCACAAAGAAAAGACAATCAGACCATAAGCCACACCCCAAACTGATGGTGGGAGACCTGGGCAGCCCCCAGGTGGAACCCTGATGTCCCATGGAGGGGACCCAACCTTGGAGCTATGCTTTCTGTACCAGAGCCACAAAACTGGTGGCACCAGCACCGCAGCAGCATCCTGGGAAGGAGGTGATGGTCCCCCCATCCACCCCAAACAAACCAAAGGGGTTTCTGAGGAGAGGTCAAGGTGCTGGAGATCCTTCTTTCCAAACCAGACCCCTCTTCTCCAGCCTGCTGGCAGGACTCATCACTCGGCTGATGGTTTACCACACCAGTTCATGTTCTTGGCTACCCGGTTTGGATCTGGTGATGTTTTTACTGTGGACACCTGGCGATTGTGCATGGCTCTTTTTGCTGTCAGTCAAGGACTGGTAGAAGAGTCGTGTGGTACAAAAATCAGCGCTGTTTTACAAGACAACCTGAGGAAGTGTTGGCAAACAGGGGAGAAGAAGTCCAGATTTCAGCAACCTGCCCACCACGTGTGTGGAGCACAGGACCAGCACACCAGAAGCAACGTGTGCTCTGTCCCTCCGACAGCAACAGGCAGAGGACTGAAGTAGAGCCAAAGGTGTGAGAAGCATGCAGTGCCAGTCCGAGTCACGACAGGCAAGGAGAGAAACTTGGGAAGTTAGCAGAAAGTCCTCAGGTGCACAACTGACAAGTCATACACTGCAACTTCCAGGGAAAGCCCTGAGCCAACTGCCCAGCACTGCTGAGTTTCCAAGCCCATATTCCATGCCAACATTTATAACAAAGACAACTGTTTTCCTGCAAGTCCATCCAAGCAGTTGTCACTGGGGAGGCAGCAAGGGGCAGCAGACGTGCAGGACGGTCCAAAGCCCGTGAGTCAGGAGTGACTGCAGCTGGGTGTGCACCTCCTGACCCACCGTGTGCCTGCACGGGACCACCAGGCTGTGGTCTCAAGGGGTTCACACACAGAGGATGTCCCACAGAGCCTTCCTCATGCCTGCTGCTGGCAGTGGCTCTCACACCCAGCCCTCTGACAGTGCTGCCCATCGCTTCATCTCCCCCAGACCTCCTCCGAGAAGGAGTCCCTGGGAAGCCATCACCCCCTGAGCTCCAACCACAGCCCACAGATGTCCCCGGGCACCACCACAACTGACCTCCAGCATCGTGGGGAGGCTGTGGGGCAGAGCTGGGTGCTCCAGCACCACAAGCCATGATGCGGGGGGCACCGGCACAACACCCAGAGACGGATAAAATAAACCCAAACACAAGCACAGCAGGATGGCAAACCAAACACTGACACAAAGTATTACTCATTTCCGAACCCACAGGGGTCAACCTCAGTCCAAACACCATTTTTACCCCCAGAGGAAGCAGCAAGGAGCTCAACTGCTGGCAGCAGGAGTTGCCACAGCTCAGGCCCCCATCACCTCACTGGCCCCAACCCCACTGGGCAGAGCAAGACGGAGCAAAACCCAGCACTGCGGAACTGGGGGAACTGGGACTCTGCCTTGGGAGCACAGTTTATCCACAGGGAATGCCTGCTGGGCTTCATGGATTCATTTTTTCACCTTCAGCTGTTGTGCCAGTAGGAGGACCCGGGCACGTCCTGCTTGTTTAAAGTGGTTTCCTTGCACAAATCTTCAAAATCGTGAAGATTTAAAAAAAAATATTTACTAATTGTATCTAAAGTGTGAAGTTTATTTCATTTATTTGTAGTTTTGCCTCAGGTTCTTAATACAAGTTTCCTCTCTAAACAAGGCCTTGTGAAATACATTTTTGTGTTGTTTTGTTGTTTTTTTTTTTCTGTTAGACTGAGGGAGAGAAACCCCAAGAAAACGTTAAAGCAAACCAGAAACCAGCAGTTAAGTTAAGGCTAGCAGGTTTGGTGCTGGGAATTAACTAACACCCCTTCTTTGAAGGAAGAAGACATGCACCGTAACTACTTGGTTGAACGCAACACGCCGGAAAAAAAACCAACCCAAACAAACAACAAACCAACCCAAACTCAACGTTTTTTCAAATGAAACCAGCACTTACCCTGCAAGTCACCCCCTCGCGTGTTGTACCTACTACTCAGTCTTAAGAAAGATGGGGTTGGGGAGAGGGAGGGAGGGAGGGAGGGAACGCCCTGTGCCGGGTTTTTGAGGACACACAGGATAACTAGAGGAGGGGGTCATGCCATGAAACGGGATGCAAGGAACGGCACATGGTTATTGCATGCGTGGCGGGGGGACAGGCCAGCCCGCCCGCCCGGCGGCCCCGTCCTCGGCTCCCCCCAGCTCTCCCGCCCGGCCCCGGGCACCCCAGGGCTGGGCAGGACCCTGCCCCTCCTGCCTCACGGGCAAGTTCCAAGCCCTGCAGCAGAGCCGTGCCCGTCCCGTCGGGCTATGTGAAGCGGTCCGAGTTCATTTTCCTCAGCTTGGGGGGCAGGTGCCCTTCCATGCGGCCGCCGCCCGACAGCTTCTGCAGCTTGGGGGGCAGGTCGGCCACCGACTGGCTGATGGGATCCGACATCATCTTGGTGGTCTTAGACACCAGTTTCTCCTCCGAGTTCCCGGGGACCGAGCTGATCCGCTGGAGTTTCATGGGCAGATCCCCCATGCTGTAGGCCTTCTCGGAGGTGGTGGAACTCATCCTGAGGAGTTTTTTGGGGAAGTCTTCCCTCCCTGTTATTTTCTGCAGTTTTGAGGGCAGCTTTGTGCCCACCTCGTCGAGCCCGTCCAGGCCATCCACCGAGTTGTTCCTTTCTTTGCTGTTGCTCACAGCGGGTGCTATCAAGGGCGAGGACATGAGCAGCATCTCCTCCTGCTCCTTCACGCTGTAGGGCGGGGTGGGGACCTCAAACGTGGCGTGGAACTGGGAGTAATCGACTTTGAAGAAGCCTTCTTCCAAGGAGATAACCGGGAAGAAACGATGACCCCAGAGCACCTCGTCCTCAGTATAGGATGTCCTGGCTTGGCATGTCATCCCTGCAAGGAAGGAAAACTTCCACCAGTTATGGACAATTACAGAACCACAGAACGTCTTGGGTTGGAAGGGACCTCCAAAGCTCATCTAGTCCAGCCCCCCTACAATAAGCAGGGACACCTCACACTAGGTAAGATTGCTCAGAGCCCCATCAAGCCTGACCTTGAATGTCTCCTGGGATGGGGAACCAACCACCTCTCTAGGCAACCTGTTCTAGTGATCCACCACCCTCATATTAAAGCACTTTTTTCTAATGTTCAACCTCAATGTACCCTTTTCTATCTTAAAACCATCATCCCTTGTCCTGTCATTACATGCCCTTGTGAACAGGTCTTCCCAATTGTGGACACACACAAATCTTGGGTTGGTTTTTTTGTACATTTCCCTGAGATGTATTTTATACTTTTAAATGTACAAAAGAGAAGGCATTGAGTGCTTATGGTTTACATGCAGCACCTACTTCACTGTCATCCTCAAGGTGAAAGGAGCTGGCAATAAAGGAAGGAAGTTAATTTTCTGTAAGTCACATCTACTATTATGGACACTCCTGAAGGTGTTGCTGACAAAGACAAACACAGGGGTAATTGATAACTCCAGTACTAAATTAGCAAGAGCCGCTAATTGTAATGGAAAGTTGGACTTGGCAGGATCTTAAAGTACTACTAACTTGTCATAGAATCACTGAGTCATGGAATGGTGAAGGTCCTTAAAGATCATCAGGTTCCAACCCCCTGCATGGGCAGGGACACCTCCCAGCAGCCCAGGCTGCTCCAAGCCCCATCCAACCTGCCCTTCAACACTGCCAGGGATGGGGCAGCCACAGCTTCCCTGGGCAACCTGTTCCAGTGCCTTATATTTATATTTACTTAACTTACATTTACTTAACTCACATTTACTTAACTTACTCCACATTCCACATCATTCTGACAAACGAGACCAAAACCAGACCCTACACCTTACACCTCATATGCCTGAATCAAGCCCAGGTCAGTGCACCCCAAACCACCCCTGAGCAGCAGCCATGCACCATCACATGCATTTATTCCTCTTTAAGGGCTTCACCAGCAATCTGCTCACAGAGCTGGCACTGCCAAGCTGAGATCTGTGCTTCCAAAAATTAGCAGGGAAGAAGAATTATGACTAAGAGGCACCACCATGGAAAGCTGGAGGCTTCTGGAAGAAATGCTGCTGCTTCTTTTTATTCTCTTTTTTTTTGTAATGGTATCTGTAGCAATCTGTAAATAGAAATACCCTGCCATTTTATCCTGCTATAGCAAACTGGGAACATGACATTTGGTTTTCAGGAAGCTAAATCCACCTCTGCAAACACACCCTCTGCTTGGCTGGCAAAAGTGCCTCTAAGTCAGGAGAAAATGGAAGGAAACTTCAGAAGGGACCAGAAAAACGATGATGGGGGAGCAGGGGATGGGGACGTGCCTGGTGACACACCCAGCCACATCAAGGGATGTTCTTGCACTTTGAGATACCACTAATGGAATGGAATTTTCACTTGGCATAGAGATTCCTACTGCTAATACACCCGAGCACATCACCAGACACAAGCTGCACAGTTTTCTGCTTTAACTCTTAGGAGAAAAACATGAACCTGGGGGCTTTGTACACTGTGTGGTGCCCACTGGAGCTTCCAGCCCTGCAGGAACATTCCCTGAGGCCAAGCAATCCCACCCCCTGCCTGCAGCCTCAGGCAGGACAGTATTTTATACCCCCTGATCTATTTTCTCTCTGCCACGGTGTGTTTCAGCTCTGTAAGGGAACTGGGAGCCATCACACACCTAATGGGGTTAGAAAAACACCCAAACAAAACAACAACCTGAAATTTTTATTACACCATGCTAATGAGAGTGAGCAGTTCTTCCATCTGCATCCCTTCCTCCCCAGCTGTTTGCCAGCCCTGCCTTCCCTTGGGGTGCCCAGACCTTTCTCCTCTGCTTCCTCAGCCCTGACCTCCCCGGAGAGGCCTCGTTAGCCCAAGGACTCTGCTAATGATGCCTGCAAATGGCAGGAGCTGCTCTTGGACTGGGGTCCAGGGGCCTGGGAAGCAGATGGCTGGTTAACTCTGCTGCCCTAGGCTTTAGGTAACAAATTGCTTCAAATGCAAATTTGTCCGCACAGGCAAGTTGGTAATTGCTGAGCTCTCTGTGCTGCAGGCTAAGCCCAGGGGGGAGAGACATCTCCCCCTTCCATGGCCAAAGGGCCCCAGGGGACACCACCCCAGCCAAGCCCCCTACTGGGGGGAAATCCCTTGTTTGGCTTCTTCTTGGGGGTGGCAATGCTAGGAGAAAGCAGCTTCCTTGGAAAAGCTGTGCTATCAAATTGCCACGGGCAGGGTGTGGGGGAACACAAGTCAGCAGTGCTGCCAGGGCTCAGGGAGGGGACCAGCCCATAGGACCTGTCAGCATCTGCATCCCCAGCTGCATCCACATCTGCATGGACATCCTCATCCCATCTGCATCCACATCTGCCTCAGCATCCCCAACCACATCTCCAACCCCATTCCCATCTGTGTCTTCGTCCCCAGCCCCAGGAGATCCCATGGCTGATGCTGCCCAACCAGGGCAATGCCAGGGCACAGCACCCACCCCATATGAGGTCAGGCCCCCCCACCCCAAGTTGCTGTGCTGCAGGGCTATTTCTGCCTCCCCATCTCTCATCCTGCCTTCCCCCAAACCTGCTGCTTCCAGCAGGCTTCCAAGGGAGGCATTTTATCCCAACTTCCCATTGAAACCTGCATTAACTGAATCTCAGGATAATCAGCTTAACATTTTGTTCCATCAGTGTAACCCCTGGTAAGCTCACCAGAGAGATAAATACTTGCAGGTACACAACTTTTCTTTACAATCCATTTCTCTTATTCACTCACAAACCCGAGGGTGCAAATTATTTAATAGTCTCTCAGGATGAAGAGCAGGGACAAATAAGCTCCTCATCACAGTGAAGGCCTTGCACACCAAGCAGCCCAGGTGCTAATGTGCTCTGATAAGCCCTGGATCAATAAATCAATCCTCAGGTTTGCTTCCAGCTCCACTGCAATTCCCAGCTCTTCCTTCCCCTTCCCTGTCTCAGCAAAGCCTCAGGCTCCCTGCTATCAGCAGTGCCTCTGCTGCTGCTTCCAGCAGCCAGCACACACCAGCCTGACTGCCACCAGCTCCTCTGGATCAGTAGAATCACAGGAATCATGGAATCATTTTGGTTGGAAAAGCCCTTTAAGATCACCAAGTCCACCCATTCCCCCAGCCCTGCCCAGGCCACCCCTGCCCCATGTCCCTCAGCACCATCTCCAGGGCTTGGAAACCCCTCCAGGGATGGGGACCCTGCCCTGGGCAGCCTGGGCCAGGCCCTGACAGCCCTTTGGGGAAGAAAGTATTCCCAAGATCCAACCTCAACCTCCTCTGGCACAATTTGAGACATTTTCTTCCTGTCCTATCACTTGTTCCCTGGGAGAAGAGACTGACATTCTCCCTAGCAGGAGGACCTGGGTGCAGTCCCTCACTGACAGCCCTTCCTGATAACCACCTCAGGGCTATTTTCCACTAAACCACGCTAAGATAAACAGAGACCTTTTCTTTCCATCCAGAGGTCGTTTCTTTCTGGACCTTTACAAAATACAACATAGAAGGTGTGGGCCAGCTTGGGGCCAGGCTGCTGATGGCCACCAACCAGGTCACTGCAGTGGCCACGGGCTCATCCCACAGGCTGTACCAGACCAGGCCACCAACATTAGGCTGTCACTTCTCCTCTCCTTCTGTTCCTACAAAGGCTTTTCAGAATTTTTTGCCTTTTTCCCCCACTCAGAAGTTGCTCCTCAGCAGGGCAGGCAGCCCCTGAGATGCCTTCATCGTGCTAATGGGGCCTGTTAAAACTGTACCAAGTTGTCTGTACGGTTAATATTCATTTAGCAGCATCAATTTTAAACTCTGGTTTGGAAGCAAACACGCTGTATGCAGTGCATGGAATTAAAAAAACCATCCATTTGTCAGAGTAAAAGGTTTTGATGCATTTTGTTCATCACTCCCACCGCTCCTCCCAGCTCCAAGTGCTCTCCAGGGCTGTGATTGCCAGGCACATCAGCAAAGCTCTGCCTGCACACACATCCCAACATCCCACCTGAGAAAGAGCTACACTGATAGGCAGATATTCCAGCATAAATGTCCAATTAATACCTTCTATGATTTCAAAACCAGGACCGTTGTTTCCTATGTCCACAGGCAGGGATTTCCATCCAGAAGCCCCTGCAGTGGGATTTTGTCTGGATGCCCTGCCCTGCACAAACCTCACCCCAGCCTATGTGGGACCACCCAGATCATCTCCCACTGTCTCCAGGGATTATGTTCCTTCTGCAGAAACCAGGAGCTGACTCTGTTCACAAAGTATTTTGAATAATAAATAGCTTTTACGAGTGACAACAGCTTAAAGGAAGGCAAGGGCAAAGTTCTGAGGCTGAAATGGTGTTAGAGGAGCTTTAGCATTTGACATTATTAGAAATCTTGCTACTGATTCAATTCAGCCATTTACAACCACCTGTAGTGATCTGCCATCCCCCTGCAGAGTCCAGCACACAAAGCCATGGCCCACAGCACAGGGAAATCCCAGCTATTTAACCTATTTAGGACCATTTTCCATTAACTTCCTTGAGTAACATCCTGCAGAGCAGCTCTGCAGGATGAGTGTGGGTGAAACTGCTGTACTTCTCTCCTCAGGTTTGATACCAAAGTATGCTTTTTGTTGTTGGGTTTGGGTTTTTTAAAAAATAATGATGCCTTCCCCTTTCAGCATTGGCTCTACCTGAGCATCTTCTGCAGAAAAATGCATCTCTCTGATATCCTAAGTTATTAATGACAAGTTGTTTTATCTAATGAGGTAGAACTCTTGGGAAAACGTGGATGCAACTATCCCACCCTCCACAAAGCAGCAGGGTATTTAAGCTTTTCTTTGTCCTGTCTCAGTATCCCACCCCCAGGAGAGCCCAACGAGACCCAGGGTT